TGTTTGAGTTGATTTGTCAGTTTGGGTTTAGGTTTCCAGATTATTTCCACCTTCCCTGTTTACATCACTCAGAAAACCATTTTGTCTCTAAATCTCCCTCAGCTTCTGAACTAACACCAGGCAGTTAATCATGAAGTGTAGGAGCAGATGTTCCCATTACACTTCTCTTCTTTAGAGGTATCAGCCCTTTAGTGTTCTCTGCTTTCTGAAATGGCTGACACTTCTAGTTTGAACTGCTTGCTGTGAGCTGTTTTCAGGAGTGCTCCTAAAATTCAAAGCAAATCAGGCAAATTGGCACAAATGTTGAGATAACAAGGGATTTCTTTTTCTCTTGGCTCCAGTAGGGAGAGTTCAAACCAGGCTTCATCTGGAGAGGTGCTTCATTGCAACACAACCTGTCACAATAAATGCAGTGCCCTGGGGTACACTATGATTTGTGTCACTGCTCTTACACTGTTTCAGGAAGCATTTGCTGTGAAAAGCAGAACTATGGTGATAAAGTCTAATAGGACTGTCAAGAAGTTACTAAACATTTGACTGCTCAGTCTGAAAACAACACTACTCCAGTCTGAATGTCTAATTGTATGTGAATGTAGCTCAGGCAAACCATGAAGCATATGGACTAAATAGGTTTTTCTACTCTTTGTGCTGAAAAGGTTAAACAAAAAAAAAGTGTTTTAAACATGCAAATTACCAATCTAAAGAGATTTTCTTTGGGTTTCCCCAGCTAACACATTAGGCTCCCAGTAGGCTTGTTAACTGTGGCATAGAGCTTTAAAAATAACTGCTGCAGAAAGGAAATGCTTTATACATTGCTCATCAGCCTTCAGGTACAAAACCAGTCTCCAAAGCATGGGACAAAAATGTTTCAACACAGCAAAAGACATTAAATGTATCTATTTGCCTGTTTTTAAGCAGTAGAAGTGAATAGGAGACAGCTTCAGCTGTAATAAATAAAGATTATACTTTTCTGTGTCACTATGATGTATAGCACTGTTTTCACCTTTCTAATTATCATCTGCAAAGTTACATATAAAAGCTGCTCTTTCAGGACAGAAGGCAAGGCATGCCAGCAGAAGCAGCTCTTGTCCCAAGCTAGGCTACAGCCTTCAGAAGCCTAAATTTAAGCTGATGCTCAAATGAGTTTTGAACAATCCATTTTCTCTGGCCTGGATTCTGTCATCACGAAGTACCACTGACAGCACTAATCAGAATCAGAGAACTCAGCATTCAATTATGCTGTCACATAAAAACCATCTTCTGAGGATTTTCTTTTGAATAGATAAGGTGGGTATTTTTAGCACTGATGCTGATGTGAATTGATGCTGCTATTAGATATACACAGAGTCCATTCTCACACTAATCTGAAAAGTGCTTTTGCCCTTTGCCAGTCACACGCACAATTGCAAATATCTGAGTACAAACCCCAGCAATTACGAATATCTGAGAATGAACCCCAACAGATGCTTTCTTAAACAGAAGGCTATGGAAAACTGTAGGGTTCTACAGCAGAGGAATGCAAGAACAGCTCCTGGGGCATGTACAGCATGTCCTGGTAGAGGAAGCAACTCTTGTTTTAGTATTACCCTATGGGTTTTGCAAAACTTTTAAAAACTAAACTTTGACCTGTACAAACTCTTCATACGCTTTCATTCCTCTTCATGCACAGAGCTGGATTAATAGTTTCTCATTCCTTTCTTTCAGGCAAAATAAGTAAAGATAAAACCTGCTCAAGTTGCCGCAGAGGTTCAGTTGCTCCCCTTCTCTCTGTGCTCGTGCTCTCCAGTGGACCTGGAAGTAAAAGTGAAGGTGTCACTCACCCTCCTTGAACAGAGACAATGGCATTTTGTCCTCTTTGACAATCCCCCTATGGACCTGCAAATCAACTGTTTCTAAGGAACAGCTGAAACACCCTCCAGAAAAATGTCAGTGAGGACCAGCCTGTTTCCCTGATAAACTTTCTAGAGTGCAGAGATGAAACACAGTTTGCTCCAAGGAGTGCTACAAAACAACAGAAAACTGAACAGATATGATAAGTGTATTAAATATCTCTTGCATATTCATTGTCTTTCCAAGTGGGAATGGAGGAAGCACATGTTTTATTTTACTAGCCACCATTAAGGAAGTAACAAAACACATGGCCCTAATTAAAGGAACAAATATTGACAGTAGCTGTTCAAAATTTAAAGGTAATGGATACACAGAGAATATACTTAGAGGACACAGGGTGTGACTGACAGAAGGAAACTCCAAAAATAAGTGCATTTAAAATAGCCACATTAGCAGACAAGGAGAGCGTGATGTGAATTTGCAACAATGGAGACAATTTCTTTCTAACAAAACAAATTACAGGCAAACCCTAATCTGATCATGAATTTCTCTGGCAGTGGTATAGTCCCTGAAGAGAAACCAAAGAATCTCTATAATTAGTAACACTTGGAATCAACATTGCTGGAAACTATGCTGGGGGGCAGAGTGGCTACAACTGACCCCAGAATTCTTCTGCAGATTATTCCCAGTGAATTCCATAAGCACATGTAATGTTTTAAAAATTGGAGTGCTTGTGATACGAAAACATCAAAGGAAGAGGGTATGCTTTAAATGACAGTATAAATCCAGAAAAATGTCGAATCCCTTTATATCACTTATGAATATTGAGGAAGAATCTCATTGATAAACTTGCCATTCTTTTTCAAGGAAGAGAAAACTATCTCCTGTACTAGCATGTTGCATGTTCACAGTTTTACATTACTGGTGCACAGCTAAGGAGCAACAGTAAATAAATGAGAGAAAACTCTCAAGTTTTCATCCCCAGCACAGTTGAAGAGCACCTTACTCGATTGCTTTAACTGAACATGCCAGTGTTCTTCACCAGCTCCTGGCAAAGCATGAAGTGGGTTCTCTCTGCTCCCCAGCTGTGAGCATCTGAGGTCACTAAAGCCTTGCCCCTGCTCAGTATTAGCTGGGAATGGATGAAGATGGCAATGCAAGAGAAGCTTTTAAGCAATTTTGAAGGATTAACAGCCTTCTACTTTCTCCAGAGCATACTGGAAATTGCCCATACGAGCCTGTGCAGAGCAAGCAGCCCGTTTATAAAGATAAAAAACTGATGTGACTGGACCTGCTTTGTTCTCTGTGCCTAAATATGGGCCACAAAATCACCACTAAAACTTTCTCAAAGGCAAAAAGTTTTCAAATTACGACAAAAGAGATTGCTGGTCTTCTCTTCAGGCCTGTGCTATTACTGGACGGCTTTTACCAGTCAGCTCTGTCGTAATTGCCTTCATGATTTTTGTACAAAAGGCCATGACCCTTCTCACTGAAGTGGATTGGGACACTTTCATGCAGTGGAGACTCCACCCATGGTTATGTAACTAAAACAGGCATCTCTGTAGAGATTCAAGTATCGAAATGGGACTTAGATGTCTGGCCCAAAGGCTACCTCTGCATCTGCTCACCTGACAGAAGGTTGCTGCCATGGCCAATATTGCTTTGAGTCAGGAGCCCACAGAAGGAGGGAAGGCTGGCTGGGATCAGCTGGTGGCCAGCAGTGTTACCAAACACTGGGGTGGCTCCGGGGTGGCTCTGGGGTGGCCTCTGCAGTAACAGTGCCCTTGCCTTGTTCCTGCATGGAGAGATGAGAAGGGGCCTCTTGCAGAGTCACAGAGGTGATGAGGGAGCTGGGTTTGTTCAGTCTTCAGAACTGGAGGCTCAGGGAGGACCCCATCGCTCTCTACAACTGTGTCACTGCAACAGGACATTATAGTAAGGGGGGGGGAAGTCCCTTCTGCCATGCCCACAGTGAGAGGAATAGAGGAAATTGCCTCAAGCTGAGACAGAGGAGATTCAGATTAGATATTAGAAAAAAAATTCACTCTTTGGGTGGTCAGGCACAGGAACAGGTTGCCCAGAGGGGTGGTGGAGTCGCCATTCCTGGATCTGGCACTGGGTGATGTGGTTTAGGGGTTACAGTGGCAGTGATGGGTTGACGGTTGGACTAGATGATCTTAAACGTGTCTTCCAACCTTGATGATTCCATGAATCTGTGATCCCATGAGTCTGTGATCCCATGAGTCTATGGTTCCATGAGTCTGTGGTTCCATGATTCCATGATTCCATGAATCTATGATCCCATGAGCCTATGATTCCATGAATCAGTGATCCCATGAATCTGTGATCCCGTGAAACTGTGATCCCGTGAGTCCGTGCCCCCACGCTCCCGTGACTCCTCAATCGCGGGGCTCCACAGCGAGCCGTGGCGGGGCGGGGCCCGGCGCTGTCACGGGCGGGAGGGCCGGGCCGAGCGGGCTCCTCCCGTCAGCTGTTGCTGCCCGGGCCGCGCTTGGCGCCGCCCGTTCCCCGGTAAAAGGCGGCGGCGCGGGCGGGGAAGGAGCTGCTGCGGCCGCGGCGAGGCCGGTGGGTGCGCGGGGACCGTGCGGGACCGTGACTGCGGGGGCAGTGCGGGGGTAGGCTCGGCTGGGGGATAGATTGGGCTGGGTGGGCTGGGCTGGGCTGGGCACCATGCGGGGCTCGGGCGGACCCGCCGTGCCGTGAGCCGGGGCGGGGGTCGGTGAGGCGGGCGGGGCCTGGGGCCGGCCGCGATCCCCCCGCCGGGCCGGGGCCGCCCCTGCCTGCTCTTTGTGTCCGCGGGAGGGTCCCCGCCCGGCCCCGCCGCGCTCCGAGCGCCCCGCAGGCCCCGCGTGGGCCCCGGGGGCGGATCGGGGCTCCCCCGGCCCGGCCGCCCGTGCTTGGCTCGGCCCCCGTGGCCCGGGCTCGGCCCTGCTCCGGCGCTGTGCAGCCGCCCCGCCGCGCTGCAGTCACAAGGCGATGCCTCCACGGCTCGCGGGGGGCACCGGGCTCCTCTCGGCCGGGCAGGCTCGTTCCTGCTCGGTCCGTGCGAGGAGTTGGGTACGTGCTGCAGGGTCGGTCCGGACCGGCCCTTGCGTGGATAATCCTGGAGCCCATGGCAGTGCAAGTTCAGACTGAACCTCGTTGCTCGCTCTGAGCATCTGCAGAGTACCGTGCTGGCTCGCGCTCTTCCTTTTCCCGACACAAATGAAGCTGTAGACATCTGCATCTGTCGGTAGATGCTGCTTTTGAATAGACCTGAAGAACTCTAAAGCATTTGTGAGGCTCTTGCCTTGATTAGCAGGTAGGTGAAGCGGTCAGGGATCTTTCCCCGACCGCCTGTAGCAGAAGCTGATGGTTAGACGCGATTATGTAATTGGAAAGCCAAGAGTGAAAGGGACTCGGGATGCGGAGCAGCTGGAGACCAATGTGATCCTTCTCCACAGGGGAGGAGCGAGAAGGAAGACTTGCCAGACAAGACCCAAGACCTTCGCTTTTCTAATAAGGTGATTCTGAAACTGTGTAGACAGCTGCTACCCTGAGCTCCTGAGCTGCTTGGTGCAGGTACGTGATTGACTGCTGGGGCACTTGCTGTCTGAAGATTTGGGCTGAGTATAAAAACCACATGACTGTCAGAAACATATGGGTGCTGTCTAGCTGACAGAGCCAATTAAAA